CGCCGGCCTGCTCCGCCCCTTCCCGCCCCGCGTCTTCCTCCTCGCGCTCCTCCTCGCTCGGCTGCTCGCTGACCGCGCGGCGCGCTGCAGGCTGCAAGATGGCTGCGCCCAGGCCCCCGCCCGCCTGGCTGTCGGGCGTGCTGGTGCAGGTGCCCATCCAGGACCTGGAGGCCCTGCGCGCGCTGACCGCGCTCTTCAAGGAGCAGCGGAACCGAGAAACCGCGCCCAGGACTATCTTCCAAAGAGTCCTGGACATCCTGAAGCGGGCTTCTCACGCCGTGGAGCTGGCCTGCAGAGATCCGCGCCAAGTGGAGCATCTGGCCTCCAGCCTGCAGCTCATCACCGAGTGCTTCAGGTGTCTCCGGAACGCGTGCATAGAGTGCGCCGTGAACCAGAACTCCATCAGGAACCTGGACACCATTGGCGTCGCCGTTGATCTGGTTTTTCTTTTCCGTGAGCTGCCTGTGGAGCAGGAGTCCCTGTTGACGGCTTTTCGCTGCGGCCTGCAGTTCTTAGGCAACGTTGCCTCACGAAATGAAGAGTCCCAGGCTGTTGTGTGGACGCATGCTTTTCCAGAACTCTTTTTGTCTTGCTTAAATCATCCAGACAAAAAGATCGTTGCTTACTCGTCCATGATACTGTTCACCTCTCTTAATTCTGAAAGAATGAAAGACCTGGAGGAAAACCTCAATGTCGCCATTGACGTTGTGGACGTTCACCGAAGGCAGCCTGAATCCGAGTGGCCGTTCTTGATTATTACCGACCATTTTCTGAAATGCCCGGACCTGGTCAAAGCCATGTATGCCAAAATGAGCGATCAAGAAAAGGTTACCTTGTTGGACGTCATGGTCGCCAGAATAGCCGGTGATGAGTCCCTGCTCCAGGATGACGTCTCTGTGTTTCTGAGCCATGCTGAGTTGATTGCAAGTGCTTTTGTGGGTCAGTACAAGACTGTGCTGACTCTGGCCTCCGACCTGCAGACGGGGGAGGAGGCGGCGGCTCTGGCCACCATTAGGCTCCTGGATGTGCTGTGTGAGATGTCGGCTCACACTGATCTCCTGGGCTACCTGCAGGTCTTTCCCGACTTGCTGGAACGAGTGATTGATCTTTTACGACTGATTCATGTCGCGGGCAAAGACAGCACAAACATCTTCAGCACCTCGTGCTGCGTGCAGGCTGAGCGAGAGGTCTCAAATGTGGCCGAGGGGTTGAAGTCTCATCTCATTCGCTTGGTTGGAAATCTGTGTTACAAGAATAAGGACAACCAAGACAAAGTGAGCGAGCTGGATGGCATCCCCTTGATCCTGGACAGCTGCAGTGCAGACGACGGCAACCCCTTTCTCAGCCAGTGGGTAGTGTATGCCATCCGAAACCTCACGGAGGACAACAGCCAGAACCAAGACTTGATCGCCAAGATGGAAGAGCAGGGCCTGGCGGATGCCTCCCTGCTTAAACAGATGGGATTTGAGGTGGAGAAGAGGGGTGACAAGCTCATTCTGAAACCTACCGGTGACAGGCCTCAGCTGGAATGAACTCTCCATCCAGATATCTGCATTTTCAGGACCTGTCTCTCGTGTAGTTTTCATCTTCTGCAGCATGTGAAATTGCAAGTGTGTAAGATTAATAAGTGCAAATTCAGGAACACTTGACTCTTAGATAATAGGTAAAAGTTAGATGTCTATAAGCTTAAACACGAAAGTACGTGAGCATTCTGTTGTTGATGTTGTTTTCTTGAAAAAATGTAACTGTCTGCTTTGCCTTTTGCCCTGTGGATACAATGTATGTGTAAGTGGGATATTGTGCTTTCTGTGGCAGCAAATAATAAAAGCCCGTTGAGAGCCCATCCCTTCCTTGGTATAAATAAATATTGGTGTTAAATTCAGTGAATGTGTATGCATGAAAGAATTTCTTCCTGATTTGTGAAGTGAGTGACATCCACAGAGCTGGAGAGCTGGGAAGAGCCTGGCATCTTCCAGTTTGCTTACGGTTATATGTGCTTAAGCCCCATTTCTTTTCTTTGACTTGAAACAGCGTAACACTCTGTGGTTTGAGACATACAGAATGCAGCAGTGTCAGGGTATTCTGTGCTCTGCTCCTAATTCCTGTTTCTTCAGGGCACCAGCTGGGTTGCTGATCATGCCCCGCTTTCTGGCTCCTTCTGGATTCTGCTCTGCCGCCAGGTGACAGCAAACCCTCCCTGCTCAGAATACCAGAGAACAGATTGTTTTGGGGTTCTGAGGTCCAGGCATCCCTTCCCCCTGCTATTCCCTTAGTGATTTTCCCATTTGCCTTCCCCTTGAAATATTTGTAAAAGATTCTTGGACAAATCCAAGGAAAAGGGCAGCTTTCTGAACTCCAGACTGAACACTAAATAAAACAACCCGCAGCCCTCTGTCCAGTTTTTCCAGGTCTTTATCCTCCTGGAGGATAAATGTGCTCAGGTTGAACAGCCAGTCCCATGCCCCTTCTCCCTTACCTATTCTCAGACAGCAATGGAAAGCCTATGGCTAAATTTAGAGCCTTTATGGTGAGTTTCTAGTATTATTTTAAAGTCAGTGGGTACTTATCTTTTTCTTTTAAGGGTGGGGGTTGGCTCTTGAACTAAAAAGTAGGCCATGTGTGCCAGGGAAGAAAGATCCCTTATTCAGCCGGATTTGAGATAGGTTGGTCCATGAGAATGGAGTGTTTGTGTGTGTGGAGAGAGGGGTAGACACTTAGAAGAACTTTATAGCCACCCCGCCAAAAGTCTTTGAATTTCACCACTTCCCTCCTCACCCCCCAAAAGGCAATATTCAAATCAGTCCATGTTTATGGAGCAGCTGTTTTCCGCCAGGCACCTTGCTGAATCGGCAATACAACAGAAGGACCATGTCTGACATTCTTTCAGCTGTCCCTGAGCAATTCTGACTTGGGAGACTACCAGACACAGTGAGGACAGAAGACCCGTAACATATTTAGACTGACTGAAGAAGTAATGTGGACGGCGGCTCTGCTCACCACTATATCAACAAGGCTCAGGTAGTAATTTGCACCTGAGTGTTTCTCCAGCTGTAGTATTTCCTGGTGCTTAGATGATCTCTTGGTTACATGTTGCTTTTACAGTTATTAGGTAAATAGTCATATTGTAACAAAAATGACTTTCCAGTACTGTGACACCCTGTCACCGCAGCAGACACTGGAAGCTGGAACCCGAGAGGCAAATAAACTAAGGAGCTACAACTGGATCCGGCTTCTGCGATTTAGTTAATGGAGTGGAAACCTTGCAAAGGAGCCTAAGGCAGGACTGTCCCACTGAATGTTCCCTCCTGCCTTCATTCCCTCCTCTGTCCTGTATGCACGGCAGCAACTTGTTACCATGTAAAATGATCATTTACCTAGTAATTGTAAAAGCAACATGTAACAAGATCATCTAAGTAGCATGATATACTACAGCCGGGAGAAACACTCAGCTGTAAATTACTTCTTGAGCCTTGGTGATGTAGCAAGCATTGAAAAAGCTTCTGCTTCGGGTCAGACACTGGGTGTCAAGGAGGAATGAGATTCGGACATGCGCTTGAGGCATTTAGGAATGGGAGACAGTTTTACATTTCAAGCCCACGATTAACGCTAAACAGGCAGAAACCAGGAAACTCTGAAGGGGCTCCAGGCGCGCCTGCATGCAGGTATCCTAGCATGAAGGGTGAGGCAGTAGGAAAGAGGTGACATTTTTCCCCCCTTTTGAGTGGTGAGATTAAAATCCAATTTACCTTTGAGTGAGTCAAAAATATTCTCGGATCAGGACCGGGCCCTGCCCCTGATCTGGGCGGAGAGAAACCTGGAAAGAAGACGGTGGAAATTCCGTGAAAGCCCCTCCCTCCCATCTGTGCCTGACTTCCATTGCCCTGCTGTGAAGGGCAGAGATTTTCCCCTGCAAAAATGATGACGACGACCCGGAATTCTTGTAAAGGTCAGTTAAGGAAAAGAGACAATGATGTCGTTTAAAGTGACGCTTCCTTTTCAGCTGCATTAAATCCAAGAGTATTCGCTGAGTTTAAAAGTGAGACACACAGGGAAAGAGCCGTCAGATGGACCGCCGGTTCGAGCGTCTTCAAGGAGGGTTCCATGGTGTAATGGTTAGCACTCTGGACTCTGAATCCAGCGATCCGAGTTCAAATCTCGGTGGAACCTTTCCTATTCCGGCCGATTTTTGCTTTCCGATCACCCAGATTCACCGAGTGAATCTGGCTGCTTTCGATTCTAATGCTTTGCGTTTTGATGGAGTCGGGCAGTGCGGAAAGGCACATACCACAGTGTCAGTGGTCCATGAGCGCAGTCGGGCTGTGGCCGCCCAGTGTCTGTCCCTGTCGCTCTTCCCATCGGGCTGATTTTTCTCCAAGGGTTCTCCCGAGTGACAGTGCATGCAGCAAACGCGACTGGATACAAGCCCAAGGGCTGAGCACAACGTGGTCCGTGACGGAATAAATACGAGGAGAAAACAGGGAAAGGCAGTAGACAGACTTTACTGAGGGGCTCTCCCTTGTCAGGATGGAGAAGGAAAAGGTAAGAAGCGAAGAATTTTTGAAAGAAAAGTGTGTGTCAGAAGTGGGATTCGAACCCACGCCTCCATTCGGAGACCAGAATCCTCTACAGAGGAAGACAGAGCTTGAGTCTGGCGCCTTAGACCACTCGGCCATCCTGACACTCGGAGGCGGGGTCTCCCTAAACTAAATAAATTCGGCTATGGCGATGCTCGGTGGCCACCGAGTGCCATCTCTGCTCCTGGCTGGTATTATACTTCTGGTCACTCACTGGTCACTGCTCTGCTCACAATGCCTCGGTCACGTCCAGATGGGCACAAAGAGTTTGTGCTCCACAATCATTCTCTCACCTCTCCGCTGTAAGTTTATCTGCTCAAACTTATCTGTACTGACTGTCCAATTTCGTTTCACACAGACTGCTAAATTCTTAGCGTTGACCAAATCTCCCCAAAGTTTACTAATTGCTGCTGTTCTAGACAGTCACAAAGGACTCGAGGTGGGTAAAAAAAAAAAAAAAAACTGTTCCTAACACAAAACCATCCCACATAAAGTGGGGGGGGGGAGTGTTAACCACACAACAAAAATAGAAGTGGGGAATTGTGAAAAAGAAACGTTTGAGGAGAAAATATGACTGGTGTGCGGTGTGCGCTTGGCTTGTAACCTATTGTAATCTCACCCTGACTGGCTCCCCCTTTTTCTAACTTGTGAGTTATCTGTAGTGTATTTTCTGCTGGCAAATTAACACGTGCTTGCAGTAAAAATAGCCATCACAAAAATCTGTAACCTAGAAAGTTAGTCATAATCCAGCCTCCCTCCCGAATAATTTGGTTTATACTCTTCAGACATTTTTTCAGTATACACACAGTATACAATACTTTTACCCCCAAAATCAATCCATCCTACACAATGTGCTGTCATTTTCTTTTGAGGTCAAGCTAATTTACAAAGCTGTCTCTCGGAGGCGCACCGAGGTAATGTGGGGACATGCCCAGGTAGGGAGAGTGTCTGCAATTTTTCTTTATTTATCACACACACACACACACACACACACACACACGCACTCCCGCCCCTGGGGGTTACCACTCTGTCTCTGGTGAGTCCTCTGCCCCTCCACACCTCTGCCTTATACCTCAGTTCTTGTATGCATAAATCTTACAGATTTATTTATTTAGGCATGTAAGAACTTGAGGGGTGGGGGTGAGAGGAGTCACCAGAGACAAGAGTGGGGAGCAGAACAGGCCGACATCCTTAAATACACTGCTGAGAGGGACAGCTTGTGAGACAGATGTGGATCAGCTCCCTGTCCTGGGATGGAACTCTTGCCACAGTGGCCGGTGACACTGCTGTCTTTAACCCCTGCGCCACTGCCACCGGGGAGACCCAGTTTCTGCATTCTTATGAAGGGTGGGGGTGCCAGGGAATCAGGGTCATCTGATACCAAGACCATTTGACTAGTTGCTGGAGTACGTGTTCTTTTCTGTTATCAATTAAAACCACCCTGTGTTCCCCCGGCAGAGACGTGATCAGCGCCCACTCTCGGCCCTACGTTCTTTCTAATGTAACAATAGAGCATGTGCTTCCTTTTTACAGTTAGTACACTTCTGGGGATTGGTTTTCATTAATTTCTTTTTTCTCTCTTTTTTTAAAACTTCATTGTTTCTCACATTGTTTCTTTTTTTCTCATTTTCTTGTTAACTACATTGTTCCTCACTCCTGGACTCTGCTAGACTCAACTAGATTTTTCTCACATGAACTAGAAATAAAAAACTAGGAAATAAATCTGAGAAAGCACAAAATGATCACTATCCTACAATGGCAGTTTTCAGAGGCTGTGATTACAAAATGCCATCTTCTCTCATGCTTCTTTCCCAGAGAGAAGAAATTGTGGAGCTTACTTGTAAAGGGACCGATATTTCTCAAAAATCAGAATTTCTGCCACCCACCTTCTTTCTTTACTCAAGTGAAATCATTTTCATAACTTGAAACTTAAAGTGGAATATCCATTTCCCTGTGCAGAAAGGAGCACTTTTAAGTACTTGAGAACCCATTTGTGCCTGTTTTTTAAAAAAGGGTGTTTGAGATCATGAAGGCCCGCACATAGTACAAAATTCAAAAGATCCACCAAATTGTTACCCCAAAGGAGAACTGCTTCTAGATTACTAAGAATCCTTCCATCATTTCTTGCAAAGTGATCACACTCGTTCCTTGCGGACCTAGTATGCTCCTGGGCAAATCTGCAGGGGACAGAGATGACTAGACACGTGAGCTTAAAACTATAGGACAAGGCCCGAAACAGACACACAGAGAGAGATTGTTAAAGTTGTGACAGGATTTACGTACAAGTGGATGACGTGAAAGGGCGAGAAGGAAGAGAAGATGTATGGCTTGGCAGGCAGCTGGCTGTGGCGTGCCCTCCCCGGCTGGCACCAGCGGGCGGAGCCCAGGTACCGTGGGAAGCCGCCAAGAAGGAAGCTCAGCCTCTGCGTGCCCTTCTCAAGTCTCCCGGACAGCTCTGCTCCACCCTCGCCCGCGTCCCTATTCAGGAAGTCAGGATCCAGAAAGCGCCCCCTTTGGCCCCGGGGGTGGCTATCAGCGTCACCCACTGAGTCGGAGGCCGGAGGCCCTCTGCCGTCGCCGGCACTACAAATCCCATCACCACCAAAGGGTGGTCCGCTGGGACCCGAGGGCGGAGTTAAGCAGGCAGGTTTGGTCTAAAACCAGACTTGTGGCCTGGAGGGGGGACGGGGAGGGGGGTGTTGGCCTCCGCCTTTGGCTTAACTCTTGGCTTCATTGGCTTTCAGTGTGCTATTGGGGTTCCAGGTGAGCAGCCCTGGTTGGACACATTCACCAACTTACCTCCCTCGCTTTCTCCCTGAACTATTCGTTTCTTCAGTGCCCCTTTTGCTGTAAATAAACCCTTTACCAAACTTCTGGTGTGTGCCTGCAGTTGGGTCTTCGTGTAAGTCCCTTTAAGTGCACCGGTGAGGACCCACAGCCTGGCAACCTATTTCATATCGGGGTTGCCTTGTAAAACCAGCTGCAGTAACATGCATCATGTTAGACATTTTACTTATACTATGCTTGAAACATTTCTGATATTTTAGTGAATGATTTCTCATCTATGTTTACAGCGTTTGTAATAAGGACTTTGACCTCACCTGCAAAGAAATTTGAGCTTTGTCTTCTTCTGGGAGGTAACCTCTGAACATTTAAAATTTCCCTAGTGATAGGAGTGTCTTTTATTCCTGTTGGGTTCCTCACAGCACATCTGAGAGTTTATCCTCAAGAGATAATTCTGCCTGGGACACAGATTTCTCAGGCGACTTCCCGGGGATCTTATGACTCCTAGCCGGTGGAAGATGCTGGAAAATGAAGGAGAGAGGAAAGATGACGACCAAGATGGCTTTGGCCCTGGCCATGGTTCACACATTATTTTGAGTGCCTTTGGAAGGAAGAGTGAGAGCCCAGAGTCAAAAGGAGGCATTTCATAAAAACTGTGAAATTCAGGTCACAAACAGTGCTGATTCAGGGCTGGTGACCAAAGTTGCTAATGAACGACTCCACAGCCATCTCCTTCTCTTCCTGTCTTGCTCACAAACCCAGGTTTTTATCGGACTTAGTAATGCACTCAGGAAGAGAGAAACCCCCAAATTTATTTTGCAGTGACTTATGTAGAAGTTGCTGTGCACTAGAAGAGCCTTCTGAGTAGGATTTTCAGTACCAGTGCCAGGATGATTTGTCCCAATTTGTCTGGAGCATTTCCTGTTTTTTACCTGTTGCCCTGGTGAATAATTGCTAAAAGCATCCTCTTCCTAACTCATCCAATGTTCAAGTTTGGACAATGAACTCAATGGTTCCATTTTTAAAAAGGGGGGTGTCACTCACTGGGACAAGTGACCTTTACCCTTCCTACTTCCTGTCTGGACTATGAAACTCCAGAAGCCACCTTGTGCTATGATGACCTTGAACGCAGCTGTTGAAGCAAAAAAGAGACTGAGCCTTTAAGGAGGAGGAATTTCCCAGCTGGCCTTGAACTGCGTTCTTCTTTGAATGGAGAAAAATCAAAACTCTGTCACATTGAAGCTCTTCTTTGGGCTCCTCATCATACTCAGGAGTCCATCCAAGAGACTAAGATCAGACAAAGGGAAGTGGGAGACCATGGGCAGGTTCTCCTAGCATCCAGGCTAGCCCACTCCATCGTATCCATGAGTTTCTGCAGCGTTGACCTCAAGGATGCCTCTTGACTGCGGAGAGTGACCTGAGAGCCATCTCTCAGCCTCCCAGCCGCAGTAACTGGTGAAAGGATGGATAATACCACTAAACTTCAGCCAAGCAGCACAGTGAGCCTTCAACAAAACATAGGGATTTCCTAGTGGGCAGAAGACAAGACAAGGATGTTGTGACATGCAGGAAATTGCTTTTATTTTGAGGTTATTGTCGATGTACAAAGAATTGTAAAAAAGCAAGTTTATTGTACCTTGTGCCCAATCTCCTCGAATGGTAACATTTTCCTAAGGAGAGCACAACATGGTCAACAGGAGAGTGACACTGTCACAGCGGCCTTGTTCAGTGTCACTCACTTTTATAAGCACTCGTGGGTATGTGTTTAGTTCTGTGCAGATTTACCTTATGGTACGTGTGACCAACGCCACTGTGGAGACACCAATTATTCCACCACCCGGACACCCCGTGCTCCCTTTTCACAGCCACAGTCATTGGCCCCCTCCCCCAAACTGTGACAACCACTAATTTGCTCTCTTTTTTTTCGATGCATATAAGAGCTGGGGTACAGGCCACAGATGCCGGGGTGACAGGATTCACCAGACTGACTGAAGCCCACTGCTGAGGGGAGCAGCGGGGAGACAGGAGAGGTCTGCTGCACCATGTGGGTCAGCTCCCTGGCCAGGGGCCCAACTCACGCTGCAGTGGCTGCCGACAGCTTCATGATGCTGAGACTTAACCCCTGAGCTACCCTGGAAGTCTACTGCTTTGTTCCTTACGGTTATAATTTTGTCATTGCAAGGATGTTGTGAATGAAATACAGTGTAAACTCTTGAGATTTGAGTGTAACCTTTTTCACTCCGCATAATTCCCTTGCATCCATCCAAGTTGTGCGTTTCTTCCTTTTTATTGCTGAGAAGTAGCGTGTGAAACGAATATGCCAATTTATTTAAACATTCACCATTGAAGGGCTCTTGGGTTGCTTCCAGGCTTGGCTATCATGAATAATGCTTTGTGCAGATTTCTGAGTGAACATAAGCTTTCATTTCTCTGGAATTAATGTCCAGCAACAGAGATTTGAGACTCAAAACTGCAACAACGATTTGGTGACCTCATCAGAAAGGCCTTCCCTAAGCCATTTATCATCACTCTCCATTATCCATATCCTGATTCATTTTTCTTTCATACTCTGTATGCGTTTCTTGGTCTGCTTCTCATCCATCTTTCCCCCTAAAGAGTAACTCCATGCGCCCAGGCAACTTTATGTTGTTGCCTGTATCTTGGCGCCTGGAAGAGAGCATGGCACAGAGTGGACACTCAGTAAACATGTACCGGCAGAGTGAAGGACTGTGAGACATGCGTCTCTATTAGTACAGGCAGACCAGCATCAGTACCATGGGGCTGTGCTCCGAGAAGCGCCCTGTGAGGCGATTTCACTGTGTGACTGCCGCAGGGTGTAATCACGAAAGCACAGAGGCGACAGGCGAGGCTGGCTGGGGGCCGACTGGGATCACCCTGGCTGCAGTCCCTCACCAGTGACGGAAACATCGGTACGGAAGGAATGACTGGCTGGAACACGTTCTTTTTGGAGGCTGATTAGTATCCTATTGTTCACCTGCGTAGTATTTTTATTAACTTGCCCCCTCCTGAAGCATGTTTATGCTGGTTCCGGTATTTTACAAGTCAAACAATTCCGTAAGACAACCCTTACGCGAGCGATCATTTGTGCAGATGGGATAAAGTAGAGTTAACAGAAGAGGACGTGCACATGGCATATTATTTTTAGGTACAGCCTTTCGACCGCCTAGAAAACAGAATGTTTGTATTACTTTTTTTTTTAATTTGGAGCTTTTATGAATTTATTGTTTAATTTAAATGCTTTTTGTTCTGGACTACGTTTTGGTGGAAGAAGTGAGGTGGAACCCCTCTTCCCCTCAACGCCAGCTCCAAGATCATTTTTGAAGGTTCAGCACCACACTGCAGTGGCTCCTTCATCTTTTGCTGCCTTCTTACTTGCATTTGGGTCTGTTTTTCAGTTCCTATGCTGTCCCATTGATTTGTCTGTGCACTAGTTAGCGTAGTCTTGTTTTTCCTGACTAATCTATTTTTATTTTGCCAGACTAACTTTACTATCATTTGGTGAACACATATTAGAGAGAGGAAGCAGAAACATCTTACATTTTCATCAGCACCCATTCAGGCTGCTGCCTGGAACAAGTTTTCAAGGATGGTGGGGTCAACAGCGTGCAATGCCTCGGAAATAGCAAAGTGAAGCCTGAAAACTGTCCTGTGGATCTGGTCAACACTAGAAGTCACTGGCATCCCCTGGGCAGATGGGTCGAGTGGAGAGGGTAGGTGGGATTTTTGTTTAAAAATAAACATTTTGTTAATAAAACCGATCCACTGGGGATAGTTTTTGCTTAATACTCAGAAAAACTCACCTAAGCGTTTTAAACAAGACAGCGTCTGCAGTGTATAGTTTGCATACAGGCATTCTGCAGTGAAGGGGAGCCTACTGCCTTCTGTCTTTAACATCTGACTCTACTTGTCGGTGCCGGCCTCTGTCCTCTGCCTAGCCTCACGCGCCAGGGTCGCTGCTGTGGCTCCCAGCATGGTGTGTCCATTCCAGGCTGGAAAAAGGAGGAAGGGGAAAGGTTAAAAGCCCAGTTGTGGCCTACCCCAAATGCAACGCTAGTTTCTGGAGGTAGACTGAGGGCTGTTTGGGACTGGAATGTGAAGGCTCAGAGTGTTGTTCGGAAGGGGGATGTGAGCTTAGCCGTGGCCAAGACATTGATTTCTTTCCTCGGACTTGTTGCTCCACGCGAGGGGAGGCCAGAGTGAAACCCCCAAAGCAAGGAGCCTGAAGCGGGGTTCAAATCGCAGGACGATCCCGAGACAACAGCAAAGACGATGCCAGGTGGGGATGAGGATGTCTCGAGCCTGTGAGAGCCCAGGGAAGAGGCCCGACCCGACCCCGCGAGGCGCGGCCGTGCAGTGGGCATCGCATTGCACCATTTTACGGGAGGACCGTCCTGGTGGCTTCCCGGTGTCCGGCAGCCCTCCTGCTTCGGGGCCTGGGCGTCGCGATCACCTTCATCTCTGGGGAGAGGAAACCGAGGCTGCGACCGCCTGGGCAGGGCCTAGGCGCCGGGAGGAAGCAGCGGGCCGGGCCTGAGCGCGGCAACTAGGCCTCGGCTCGGAGACTCCGGCCGACGCCGCGCCGGACACCGAGCAGCGGCCAGC